AATTGTCAAACAATTTATGAAGGCCCGGCCGAGAGATAGACACACGGGCCACTTGGACAGCAATCAACTCAAATATGGAATTGAAATACTTACAAATACATAGACCATGACAACTTCTTGTCGCTTACCGTGCAGACACTGGCCGTGGAACCACAGCAGCCAGTATCTTCTCCACATCTGTGCAAAATCGTGGCATAAGGCTCGTAGCGTTTCGAGGTATTGTTCGAAACGGGTATAACGCGTGGCATTGGCTTCCGAATTTGGTGGCATGTATCATGCGTTGCCAATGTTCTGTGGCCAGTTCGTGTGGAGTTCCTGCGAAAAGGAGGAGACAAAAGAAAAGAAAATAAATAAAATCAAGTCATAAACATAAATGAACAACAGCAACACAACACACAGCAGAACACCAATCTAAGAATATGCAATTCAGACCAGCGTTGGTGATCTTTGTGAGTTGGCACTTTCAGTAATGTGGAGGAGTTAATCTGCAACAACTCACTCAATCAGTCAGGCGGCCGGTTGGCCAGCCAGTGAAGCAGAAAACCGACCATCTAAACGGCCAGCAGATGTCAGCATAACTCATCTCAATAGTCATTGGCAGCGGGCATTTATGGCATAGCCTGGAAATTACCTACCTATCCATGCGCATGCGCACAACAACGACAACTTTATTACGAACACTTAGCAATGAAATGGCCAGTCCCTTCCTACCGAATGCCCAACAATGGCATTGTTCGAAGCCTAGCCATTCTCGTGAAGTTTATGTTTCTAGCTTAAAATAAAACAAGAAACACGGCATTGTTAGGGCTAGCAAGCCTGGCCTATTGTCAGCTTGACAGCCGTGCAATGCGGCGCACGCAGGCGCTTTAACAGCCGTGTCATATAATTTTCATTTTCCAGAATTAGCTCCTAGATTCAGATCGTCTCCTTTTCCAGGTTTTCATAGTTTATTCCTGGTCATTTTGCCGCCGCGGCTGTGCTGCTGTGGAGGCGGTCATTTACACAAAATTATGCATTAAAGTGAAGGTATGCATGTCCCAGGCCTCAAGACGGCCACTCAGTCAGTCAGTCAACCAGCCAAACTGCCAGCCAGATAGCCATTCAACAAATGAGTGCATAAAATCATTGCGTGTCTAGCCAAGTGAATGTTGATGGCTGGCTGCTCATTGAGTTCCTGGTAACGGCAGTCCATTGATCGATTATGCATTTTGTCCATGGGTCCGTTGTTGTTGGTGTTGTTGTTGGGTTCCATACGATTCTGGCATCAGCGTAATTAATTTCTAACAGTAAATACCTTTTATCCGGCAAATGTGTTTAATGGCCGAGGCGGATTAAGCAAGCTCATGGGAGTCTGATTCAAGTTTGTCCATCACTGGCGAGTGTAAACATTGAAAAGCCACATGAACAAACAACTCCAACAACACCAAGAGTTACAACAAGTTATTGGCCAGAAAACATAAAGCAGTTCAAAGAATTTGAACTTTGGCAATTTTGTTTGCTTGTCTTTTAATGGCTTTTAATGTTATTAGAATATGAACAGCTTTCCGGGATGGGCGATAGCGAGAAGGGGGTGAATGTTCGGCGAAGAATTTGGCGGATGATTAAAAAAGTATCGCAATTAAAAAAAAACATTACTTTTATATGTTCCAAAACAGTCGAAAAGACTTGTAGGCACTCTAATTCTACAGAGTAGGTTTAGGATCAAAGATTATTGTTGTGACAAGTTCTTCTGGCGATCGGCACTATACTATTAACGTCAAAAAGAAGAGTACGTTCGAGTATTGCTGGTGAGGGGACCTCATCGATTATCATCGATAAGTCAAGTCAAGTCGGAAAATGGATTCCAATAAAATAAACAAAATCCATATTTAAAATACAGTGTGAGAGAAAAAACTGCAACAAAGCCAAACGCCATAATTTTTACATTTTTTCAAATTTTATTGAATGAAAGCAAAAAATTCGGAAATAGCATCAATTTTTAGATTTAGTTCAGATTTATTCGAATTGGTCACCTTTGGCACGAATTATGGCCCTCAACCGGCCAATGAAACCATCTCACGCTGGCCAAATGTTACTCTGCGGTATTTTTGCCCATTCCCGGCGAAGCGCCTGCTTGAGGTGATCGACACTTTGGTATTTTTTAGTGCCAACCTTGCTTTCCAAATACTCCAGACACAATAGTCCAACGGATTAATATCCGGAGATTTTGGTGGCCATTGTGTGCCGGAAAATAAAGTGAGGACCTTATTTTGTAACCATTCTATGGAATGTCCAAGGTCTGCCGACAAAATGTTTGCGTGCCCAAGGCTTTAATACAGAATATTTTCGGGATAATGACTGAGAGTGACCATCGGCTGTTTATGCCGGCCCACATCATCACCATGGCCGGCACTTGAGTTCTGGTGGCCAACCGAAGGTGCACATTTTCAGCTGACCTCTTTGACAAGTAAACACGATCATTTTGTTTGTTTACAAACTGCTGGACAGGGAATGTTTTCTCATCGGATATAAAACCAAATTCGGCAGTTTACCACTTTCGGCCAAGCTAAGCAACTCCTTAGCTTTTTTGAGTCTGTTTCTTTTTTAGCGGTGGTAAGTTCTTGTACTTTTTGGAATTTCAATGGCTTTACCCCGAGCTCATTTTCCAATACCTTTCGAATGGAATATTGCGATATGTTCAGCTCACGAGCCATTTTTCGACCACTGCGACGCGGGTTTCGATCAAGTCGCTTCTTTACTTTTCGAACCATTTCTGCTGATGTTGCTGTTTTCTTTCGACTACTTCCTTGACGTCGGGCTACGCTACCAGAATCTCGGTAACGAGCGATGGTACGAGACACAAAAGATTTGTTCACATTTAAATGCTGGAGTGCTCTATCGAAAGCCACTTGTGGTTTTCCAGCCAAATATAAAGAAAACACACTATCACGCTTGAATTCCATGGCGAATAACTTTTTTCCTGGAAAATTCTCACCAAAGGGCTTTTAGAGGCTTGTAAACAATATAATGAGCTGTCACTGGAATAATTTTAACAGCTGTCGGACGAGTGGCTTAGGAATGACAGCAGTCTGAAATTGGTTGCAGTTTTTTCATTTCACCCTATATATATCCCATGTTTAGGACTATTTCATTTGCCCGATAGCCTTATGTATTACGAGGGTGTAGTTTTTTACCATTCAAGCTAAATATTTCCCTTTTCCCATTACTCTCTCTCTCTCACAAACACACACTCTCCTGATCGTCTTGTGTGGTTCGACAAACATTTTCCAAATACCAGCTGTTGGAATGATCACGAGATACCCTCCGGCAAAATTTACACAATGATTTCAACATGACTATAATTTTTGTGTTGCTTTCGTTGTTGTCTTGTTGTATGCAGTCTTCTAATCAATCTGCTAACTTGCAACATGTGGCAAGTTATCATCGTTGTGGCAATATTGTAAGACGTTTTCTCGAATACCAATAACATAATTGAGGAAATTTTCGCCTAATACTTGAATCGATGGGTGTCATGTTTTCTGTGTGTGTATGCGTGTGTGAGTGCAACCATGTGTGTGTGTGTATGTTGAGAAGTTGCAACAAATTCATGGTGGCAAATTCCTTTGACTTGGGTGGCATAGATGAAAATAATGGGTGGCAAATCTAATGAATGATTTTCAAACTATCGATCGCCATCTAACATTTGATCGATTTCGCAGATTGCTGCTCCTCTGTTAGGCAGTTTGTCTACATTTATGATCTTTATAAGCTGCAAATGATCTACATACATGTGTTGTATGCGGATGATAAAATGCAAGTATATTAGAGTGTGTCGTAAAAGACACTTGGGCGGGCTGACAAAGAAGCCACAATGAAATTGTTCGACATAAATTGCAAATAATTTCCTAATTTATATTTGTAATGAAGTGCAAATGTGCACTTTTTGGACTGTACAATATAAATGAACTAGGTATATCAAATCAATGTTCGTACAAAAAAGCAAATCCCATACTGCCGTTTGGTACTGTTTGTAGATCTAAACTATTTGGAGTGGAATAAACGAATTCATTAAGAAGTTGGAATACATTATTGGGCTTCTTAAAATACCAAAGCACGTTCTCCAATTTTCGATTGGCAGTGCATTGATTTCCAAAGGTCGGATGTTTTCACCAAGCAAGATTTCTTTATAGTTTCAGCTACATTTCCGAAATCTGACTATATAGTATATATGATATCAACATCAAGGTATTTACCCTCCACCATCTGGAAGGAACTGCAAAAACTTAAAAAAATTTTCGAAAAATATCTTTTGAATGAAAACAGCTATATATGAGGACTATACGAAGACCTTCACATACGAAATTTAAACCAACCCCGTTGAATAATGTCGCTAATATAATATATATAAGAATACCGAAAAAACTGAGGTGCCGTTATATGTGTAGGGTATGCGAAGTGGACAATGGCATAGACAATTTTCTGTCATATGTTGAAGTATCCATTACGAACTTCGAGTACGAACGGTAAAACAATTCAGGTGTATAAAGTTGCTAAAATCATCAAAATACCGAATATCGTGAAGAATCGTTATATGGTGGTTATACGAAGACGTGGACCTTTTTTTGTCAGATGCTGTAGTACCCATTACAAACCTTAAATACCAAATTTGAAACAATTCCGTTGAATAATTTCCCTAAAATCATCAGAAAACCTAAACTTGAGGAATACCGTTATATGGGGGCTATTCGAAAACGTGGACCGACATGACCCATTTACGAACTTAGCCTGCCTACTGAGATGATGAAATTTTTTACGCAAAAAATTAGGTCTATTCCGTCCGCTAAATGTTATCCGACGACCATACAAAATGGACAGAATATATCCACTTATCCCGATCGAAATGTTCTTGTCAAACCTATAGGTTAGTTATCCGATTTATAAAAAGTGTGTCGTTGGGTATGTTTCTTTTGGAAGATATTTTAACTTTTTTTGTCTTGTATATTTCGGCATACCCCATTAATTAGCCACCATCAACGGTAACAACAAGAAATTGTGCATCGCAAGCGTCATATGGCAGCGAATAATAAAAAGCTGCTTTCTCTAATTTGCTTGAGCGAAACGAACAGGCAAAATGGGCGTTAAGTCTTTGTGGGTAATTGAGGCAAGCTCAGATGCTGCCACGGCTGCTGCTCTCACCGACAAATGGCGATAGACTATAGTTGGCCAGCATGAGTTCTGCTGCTTAGCAGCTGAATAACCAACCAAAGGAGGCTATCGCTGCCGCAGACTCTTCTCAGCTATTTGTATATGCAAACGCGTCTAATACGTGATAAGTG